GCCAGCGCCCAGCGGTGAGGGGGAGAGAAGCCGCCCCCAGGACGAGCTGTGTCGGCCGCACGGCGCCCTTGTTGCCATGGCGCCCTGTGCGGCCGCACTGCTCGCACACCCCTAAGGCCGGCCCTGCCTGGGACAACAGAGGGAAACCCCTCTGCAACTGTAGCAAGGCCACCAGCAGAGCTACACAGAGGGGGGACCAGCGACCACAAGACCGACCAGACCATGAAAAACAACAAACGTGACGAAGTGATCCTGGAGGTCGTTAACACAAAACTGAGGTAAGAGGGTGGGAGGGTATTTAACCAAGTTTTCTTAAAGGAGAACTACGGGGTCAGGGCTTTTCCCAATAGTTCTCCTTGGGGTAACAGGAGGACACAAACTAGCGTCCTCCCGTCACCCTAAGCTCAGTATATAGGGAGCTACAACTCTCTATATACTGAGACGCCGCAGCCGGAGCGGATCCCGACATCGATGTCGAGATCCACCCAGCTGAGTGAGTGACAGCTGGCTCCGCCTATCTAGAGGCAGAGCCAGCTGTACCCGCCCCCCTAGAAGGTATACAGAAGAGGGAGGACGGAAGGTATACAGAAGAGGGAGGACGGAAGGTATACAGAAGAGGGAGGACGGAAGGTATACAGAAGAGGGAGGACGGAAGGTATACAGAAGACGGAGGACGGGAGGTATACAGAAGAAGAGGGAGGATGGAAGGTATACAGAAGAAGAGGGAGGACGGAAGGAATACAGAAGAGGGAGGACGGAAGGTATACAGAAGAAGAGGGAGGACGGAAGGTATACAGAAGAGGGAGGACGGAAGGTATACAGAAGAGGGAGGACGGAAGGTATACAGAAGAAGATGGAGGATGGGAGGTATACAGAAGAGGGAGGACGGAAGGTATACAGAAGAAGATGGAGGATGGGAGGTATACAGAAGAGGGAGGATGGAAGGAGTCCGGAGGGACGATGAGCAGATATTCCTCGGGGGATGGGAAGCCGTACATAACACACGAGGAACAATTACAATTCCCTGACAAGGTTGTGTGCAGCTGGCAGGGGGAGGAGCTTGTGTGGAATTAGAATTCATGGCGGAGTGTCCCAACATCCTCGTATATGAAGTGACGAGGGGCTGCGCCGTCCAATCAGAATCCATCCTCCATAACAGGACGTTACCTGTAACACACCCGGCCATAGACACCACCTGAAGAGCAATCCCGGGGGCCGGATGGAGCCACACGATGTCATGGACGATACACCCGCCATCTTTCTGCAGATTGGACGAGTTCTGATCGGTAATTGTCAGGGATGCACCGATACCGATACCAGTATAGGTGCCGATGCCGAGTATTCGGGTGAATATTCATACTCGCCCAAATGCTCCGATGCCGAGTCCCGGTATCAGGAAGCCGGCTCCATGCGCCCCCCTTGTCAATTGTGATGAGGGAGCATGGAGCTGGCTTCCCGGCCAATCAGGAAGCCGGGTGCCGCGTCATTACATGCCGCCTGGCTTCCTTAATGGGACTTCCGGTATATATATATATAGATAGAGAGAGAGAGAGAGAGATCGGTACTTGTAGTCGTTACCGAAAAAACGGCATCGGTGCCTCCCTACTAATTGTAATACCAGATAAGCTGGAGGAGCGCACACTGCGGTGCCGGGAAACACCGGTCACTTGTACCACGTTATGTATTAGCTGCACCCACCCCCACCCCACCCCAGTCACAGATATCCAATGAGACATCTCCGACCAATCTACATATCTGCTCACCAATATCACTCCACACACACTATGCAATACGATTCATTCCAAGAGAGGGGGGGTACCAGTAGTACCCGCCCCCCACCCCCCCATCTCAGGCCTGGGTCCCATTAAGTCAGCAGGTGGCCGACTCCCATTCGTTCCCCCTCTCCCATTCTTGGCTGACAGCTTCCTGCCAAGTGCGACATGGCCGTCCATCGTGCAATCGGACATCTCTGCGCGGCGGTGGGCACGTCACCAGTGGTGCCACCATGAGAGAGATGGCGGGTCATAGAACGGCTCGG